GAGATTTATGCTACATGTTCTCCAGCTTCTGGAAAGACCTCCCTATATTTGAGTGTGGCTTTTAAGTGTTTAAGATCAACATTTGTTCAAGCTGTTTAAAAGCAAACTCAATAGTTGAGTGGAGTGAAAAAAACAACAGCAGAACACATGTCTTAAGTGGAGGAGTTCTCCAACAAGGCTTTGTAAAGACTTCTAAATGCTGCTTACAAAACTACCCCAGCTATGTTTAAACACTTGTATGAGGAAAACTCAGCTGAGGAAGCTGTTGCCTAGACATTGTTTTTCTCCTTTTCAAGCTTGCCCAGGAAGACGGCAAACTTTACTCTTTCATTAACTAAATGTCCAAAAGAGGCAACAAAGTTCAGCTGTCTGAGCACACAGCTATGAGCAAAGATCATTCAAGTTTCCCTGATTCTGGGTTTATGACAGATATTGTGTGACTAGCAAAGGCAAGCCATTTTCCAAAACATCAGTTTTGGGGTGTCTGACTGGGGAAAAAAAATCTCCTTCTCCCCCTGCCACCTCTCAGAGATGCTGAACATGCACAGTCTCCTTGATGTCCCCTGGAGCAGTGGTTCTCCACCTTTTTTTGACTCAAGGCCCCCCTTCCTCCTGTCCTGACCCTGCCAGTGCCCCTCACTCTTGATCCGCTACCCCCCTCTCCCCAGGCCTCAGCCCCACAGTGTGTAGAGCACAGGGTAGGTATGCAAATGGTCCTCCCACCACCACTATTTCTGTGCAGTAGTGCCAGTTACTGCACATTTAGTTAGTACCTAATATTAGAGGTACTAAAGTTAATGTGCAGTAACAACAGTGCATTAATGCACGTGCAGACACGGCCACTGGCATCTAATATTAGTGGCCACCTGTCTCTCCACTCTTGAAAATATTGGCCTCAACACTCCATATCATGTTCCTTTTCTGGGAGATTAAGAAAACAGATGTGATTGTAAGGGTTCTTCACTGAGCACCGGTCCATACTGAGATGTGACGAGACATAGTCCCTATTGCAGGAAATTTACAGTTTAGTCTGAATACATACTATAGTGTTTAAAATTATCTGTCAGGTTCTGGAAGAAGTTGGAGGTGTTGTAGGAGAGTTTTAAGTATCAGCTTGAAGTGGTATGAGGATCTGAAGTGCCACATAACTGTTCATTGTAATTGTCATTACCACATTAAAGAGAAAAGATTGCAAATAAATATAGTGATGTATACAACTGTGTTGTTGTGATGTGGTCTTGGGTATGCTATATCTTTAAGCGAAATTGGGCCCAGTAGGCCCAACTAGCCTGCTGGGCAGCAATGCTGTAGGTCTGTTTGAGATGGCTCTTGCAAAGTAGATACCACACTAAGCACTCACTCTTATGAAGTCTTATATTTCTAGCTTTTAATTAATATGAAATAAGTCATCCAGACAGAAATGTGAGCATTGCACTTTGGTACGGAAGATATGACAAGTATCACCACATAATACTGCTATATCACGAACAGGTTTACCAGTAAATTGTTGCTGTGTATTCAAATCTACTGCACTGCCTGAGCTTACAATGCTGTGTTCTGGGAAAATGTGGGTAGTTATCCCATAGTGACTCATTAAGTGGCAGAGGCAAAACAAAGCTACCTTAACTTTTGAGCGCCTACTTCAATTACCTATATGAGCCACTGCAAAGGTGCAGAAACAAGAGAGCATAATCTATTCTGGTCCTGTTCCCTCCTAACTCAGATATACTTTCTCTGCCTCAGGAAGCCCCTATCCCTTTGGGGCCTGCTGTGAAGGTCCTGTTAAGCTGGTGGGTATAGCTGTATGCCTAGCACAAGCATTCTTGCTGAGGTATGAGAATACCTCACAAGAGAGGATGCCCCAGCCCAACCCTAGGCAATAATCAATCAGACCTAGAACCCCTGAAGGACAGGAGCACACCGCAAAATTAAAGTATTGTGATCTGGTTACAGGAGGACAATTGTGACCTAAGCCATGGGCAGACCTTGGATTAGACTCATTAAGGCCCCTATGCAGTGTAAGTGCTTTGCTGAACAGGAATATGCTATTGCTATGCTGTTTCTGGCAACATACAAGGCATTTTTTACGTTGCTTCTCAAAGAGAGTGGAGAGTGTGCTTCTTTGTCCCATCCTTTTGGGTCCAGTAGACAACACTCCTTCATTTAGTTGATGGCTATAGACCTACTGGTGCTGAAGAACCTCCGTAAAACATTTTGAAAAGGAGATCAACGGTGGATGGAGCATCTTTTGCCACACTGTTTTATGTGCTGACTTTAAATTATTCCACGCAGTTCACAGAGCTGCCTTATTAAGTAAGAGGGAGCCAACCTGAAAAGCAGCTCAGGTAGACATGTGGGGACTTTCACAGCATGGTGATGTTATTCAGTAACAGAAGAAAGACGCTTCTTTCAGACTGATAAAGGTCTCCAGCAGATAAACAAAGGAAGATCTGAAGACTGTAGGGAAGGAGGACTCCAAGACAAATGAAACATGACTTAACAAGAGCCGAGGTCTGCATGATAAAGGCATTCTAGAGAAAGAGTCTCGTCTTTTTCTGGGCCCCAGTCACTTGACATGGGTCAAGGTTTCATCACATGACAAGGGTCTGTATCCATTAACTTGAGTGACTAGCTCCAGGATTGTGTATGTAAACTGAGCAAAGTGCTCAGTTAGTGAAAATTCCCTGCCTCTTCTTCCTGCACAAAATTGGCATACGTGAGTTCCACGGAAAGACAAAAGTGGGTTTGGACGGGGAATGAAATATATATCCTGCTCTCACATGCCAATGATCTCTGTAGAATCCACATTGCCAAAGATTTTATGGTGGGTAAGAGCTCTCACCTGGGCCTTACCTTGGGGATGCCCCTGCATTGAATCTGTATATCTGAGCTAGTTTAAACTCATACCGTAAACAAACGGAGATAGTGTGACACCACTGGCCCTTCTCTGCAGAAGGCAGGTAGGTCTGTGCGAAGCAGCTTGTATTCAATTTGGATTCGGCCAATTCGGGAGACAGTGATTCGATTCAGTGATTTGAATCACTGTCTTGAATCAATTCAGGCATCTGCGAATCACATAGGCCCATCCCCAGCACTTTGAAAAAAAAAAAAAAGCTCCAACTCGCCAGGTGCTGTTGGGCGGGGCGATCCCCACTGCCCCATGCTGCATGGGGGGCTCTGCACGAGTCCCCCACCCCACTGAGGACCATGCCCCTCATGGCTGCCCTGCCCACCACAGCTCCGGCCCTTTAAGGAAAAAAAACCCAAAAAACCCCCAGACTCATCAGTTCCTACCTGGCAGGGGCAATCCCTGCTGCCCCCGGCTGCCCTATGCCATGTGGGGGGCTCTTCCATGAGCCCTCTGAAGCCCTGAGGCTGCTGCAGGAGCTGGTGATTTCAGGGGGGGGGG